TTGCAAATTAGGTAAACGCATTAATTAAGAATGTGAGAGGCTGATTTTTTAGGGAAAAATGGATACTTAAAGGATATAAACTAAAGCAAATTGTCTGAAATTTTGTACAGTAATTTAAACCCAACAAATTAGTTGCATCTATTAACTCAAAGTATTATTAAATCTTTTAAATTGCGGGTGCAAGCTATTTTATTTTGTTGGAAAAGACACACACATCTGATTCACAAAATTTGAGTTCGATAATTTTTTTTCATTGTTCTACATTACAAGTAGTCAAGGAAGCTACTGTACATCAAAAACTGGATACTGATAGCTGTTTTGCGAAATTGAGAGCAATTTCAAATCTACATTACAAGTAGTCAAGGAAGCTACTGTACATCAAAAACTGGATACTGATAGCTGTTTTGCGAAATTCAGCAGAGATAACTGACTTCAATTGTAACTGATAGAGAAACCCTCTAATAATGTTTATAATTTTTTTTATAATAATGTTTACTATTTTATTGAAATGCTCTATCCAACAATTATAAAAAAGGCTATAAAATCGAATATTTGAATTTACCAATTTCAATTCTGTTTGTGGTAAACAGGTCAGGAAGGAAAGCACTTCTAACTAAGCTAAAAAAATATGTGTCGAAAATTTCGTTGCAGTAGCATTTTATAACTATTCTGTACACATCAAGCATCTCAAAATGTCGGTGTCTCAACTATGGCATAAATGTGGTTATTTTTAGCACAGGGGGCCCCACTATGAGTTATGATTGAAATAATATTGTATTTATCTTTAAAATCCTACTTGAATCCCTTGATAATCGATTATTTCTTCTCTCGAAGTTCGGTAAACATTTTGAACTGCTCGGAATCATTATACTATCGCTCTACATGACGTTTCACGAAGTATAGATGATCGCTGACAAGTAAGAACGCCGGTGCGAAAAGACGAAGGCGGAGAAAGAAGGGAGAATTAAACTAAAGGGATGAAACTTCGACCAGACGACATTTCTAAATGCCTTAAAATTTACAATTTATTTGTATTTTCGAATATTTTTCTATGTCTTTTTGGATATATATTTTCACAACTGATGTATAGTAGATTCAATAAACGATTGATTTTTCGTATGTTTTTACATGAAACACTCGAAGGGCTTTTTCGCACAATGTGTTCCATAAGTAGGTTGTTCTCGTGACGTCAGGTATAACGAGTCCGAGCCATTTAAAAGATTTACAGAACTTCGAGAGAAGAAATAATGGATGATCAAGGGATTCCAGTACGTTTTTAAAAATAAATACAATATTTTTTCAATCCTAACTCAAATTGGGGCCCCGTGCGAAATTGCCGTAGAACAACCTACTTATGGAACACGTCAAACGATGACCCGCCGAAATTTCAACCCTTTAGTTTAATTATCCCTTCTTTCGCCGCCTTCGTCTTTTCGCGCCCACGTTCTCACTTGTCATCGATCATCTATACTTTGTGAAACGTCATGTAGAGTGATAGTATAATGACCCCAAGCAGTTCATAATGTTTACAGAACTTCGAAAGAAGAAATAATCGATTATCAAGGGATTCAAGTAGGTTTTTACAAGTAAACACAATATTATTTCAATCACAACTCATAGTGGGGCCCCTTGTGTTTTTAGTGCCCAAAATTTCAAAGTATAAATTTTATATAGGCATACTGTACCTCAATTGTCGCTTTAATTAACCATTTACCAAGAACTGGTTCTTTTGATAACTGAAGATCCAAACTCGCGATACCTAAATACGTAGGACAAGTCATATTAACTTTCAACACTCCTTGAATCCAAATCACAAGGTCAATAGATACATTCGAGCATTTCAAGAGAGCGAAATTTTTTATGCGACTGTGCTTGTATTAAAGAAAATGAAAATCTTACCATCTTGCAGCTCAACGTCTTTCCATTGCATCATCTTTGCACCACTGGGTTCCTGCGATAATAAGCACAATCTATATATATATATATATATATATATATATATATATATATATATATATATATATATATATATATATATATATATATATATATATATATATACACTGTTAATTTGAAGGTGTTAAAATAGCACCTTCGTAGGTGTTAAAATGACACCTTGTGGTGGTGTTAAATTAAAAGTGTTAATCTAACACCAATTTGGGTGCTGAATTAACACCATGAAGTTGGGAATTGATTTTGAAGTGCTAAATTAGCACCATAGATATTTAACACTTTTCTAGGGTGTTAAAATAACACCCATTCTATTTAGTGAAAGTGTTAAAGTAGCACCGTTTTGAGAGTTAAACTTAGGGTGTCAAAATAGCACCTCGTGAACCGGTTTTCAGATTCAAAGTGGCGGACCACGTAGGAGCGGTTTACGTTTTTCAGACAAGTAAATGGGGCAAAGGATCATATTTTTACATATTATCGCCTTTAATGTAATCCTTGTAGAGCCTCATTGAAAAACTAATAAAAAATAATCTAAGCAATCTGTCATTTTGGTGTTAGTGATGTCAGGAAAGTGTGCAGTGATAAACAGTAAAAATATGCAGTGAAAAGAAATTGTGTGGTGATGACAAAATATGTTCATGCAAGGGAGATATAACAAGACAGCTAGAATTTTAAAGTTAAATTAAGAGTCTCTTCAAAAAAACCTTAGAAATGCAGGTTTATTTGCACTGGATTGCTCACATGATTGAGATCAGTGCCTTCAGAAGGGCCTCCCAGAAGGCTTAGCGAG